CGCCATTTTTTTCCTAATCGAAAACAGTCTCACTATTGAAGTCATTTAGACAATGGGAAATACACTTTGTCTTGCTCCAGTGGACGGGTGGTGGTTATCGCGCCATTATCTTTAGTCAAAGAGTTATTAATACCGCGAAAGTATTGCATAATGCGCCTTTTACGCTCTCTCGGCCGGCAATTTTCGATCTAGCGCGCTGGTTTGACGACTTTGTTCCCTCTGGGGACTCGGAGTGTTATTGGAAGTTCCGCTGCGTCCATAATGCTTATTGTTATGATGGCAACGTTTTATGCGTGGGAGGAATACTCATTTCTTGAGTGCGTCTCTCTCTCTCTCTCTCTCTCTCTCTCTCTCTCTCTCTCTCTCTCTCTCTCTCTCTGTGTATTTGTGGGTAGAGAGTGAGGCTTAGAAAAAAGAGGGAAGGTGAGGGGAAGAAACACAGAGAATATGAGAGAGTGAGCGAGAGAGAATCAGGGCCTGAGAGAGAGGGGGAGAGAAAGAGTCAGAGAGAGAGAGAGAGAGAGAGGGTTAGGGGGAGAGGAGAACTACAACAAGTCTGTAAGAAGTATAATGTAAGACAGTAAGAATGAGACTTTAAGAAATATAATTGCAAGACTGTAAGAAATATAAAAGTCTTACAAATGTAAGACCTTAAGAAATATAAATGTAGGATAAGAAATATAAAAGTCTTGAAATGTAAGACCTTAAGAAATATAAATGTAAGATGAGAACTATAAAAGTCATAAAATGTAAAACCTTAACAAAGATAAAAGTCATACAATGTAAGACCTTAACAAATATAAATGTAAGACTGCAAGAATATAAGGTTGTACTCACCGTTCGCCACCGTAGAGACAAACACGAGGAGGAAGCCGAAAATGAAACTGATCTGCAGCGTCTTCATGATTGGCGAGTGTGTCTGGGGCGACGGAGAACGTCCGGATCCTCTGTGGAGACGTGCAGGGAGGGCGAGGGTTAACAATAGATTCAGGGAATGTCGGGGTGTGTGGGTTAACACCAGATTCAGAGAGAGACAGAGAGAGAGATAGAGAGAGAGAGAGAGAGAGAGAGAGAGAGAGAGAGAGCAGGGAGTTACTAGGTTAACAATAGATGCAGAGAGAGCTGAATTTGCGAGAGTTAAAAGCAGATCCAATAATAGCCAGGAATGCAAGGGTTAGTAAAATATTTAAAAAGAACAGGTAGTGCAAGGGTTAACAACAGATCCAGAGATAGCAGAAAGTGCAAAAGATCCAAAAAAGAACAGAGAGTGGCATGGTTTGCAAAAGATCCCCCAAAATAGCAAGGAGTGTAAGGGTTAGCAAAAGATTCATAGATAGCAGGGAATGCAAGGGTTAACTGCAGAACTGGAGAAAACGAAGTGTGCGAGGGTTAGTAAAAATACATCTAGAGAAAACAAAGTGTGCATGGACTAACCATAGGTCAAGGTTGAACATGTGGGCCCAGGGGCAGCAGTGCTAAATGCCACGTAGAACTAAATGCCAGGTTGTTGGGTTTTATTTTAATGAGAAGTGGTGG